TGTCTAATCAGAACCAACCCATCTGCATATCCATCTCAAGAAAAACTGTCTGGGTCTCCAATCCACATAATGTAAAAGGAGTGGAAACCCAAAGGTATGACCATTCCGTAATAGCCCTAAGTTATGAAGTGTCTTTCCCCTGTGGCCCAGGGAGGCCCCACCTTGGTTTGATTACAATGGTTTCATACTAGGTTACCATTATAAATTAATGAAATACTTATTTCTTTTTATGATATTGTTATCTTTGTTTCCTTCTACTTTTGCATTTCAATAAATTACAGACTATTTATATTCTGTCTGGGTAAACTTAGTCCTAAACAAGTTTATACAAATGAACACCTTCTGTTAGGAATAAGTGCTTTTCTGTTAATATTTTTAATTAGGTTTATAGACATTAGATTTGGAGAAAGGAAATGCCAATTGCTTCTTTGGAATTCCTAGCAAATCTTGGGACTGAGTAATTTTTCAGCAAGATACATACAGAATACTTGCTTATGGAGATACAAGTTGAAATGCTTAATTTTATGATATGGAAGAATAATCCCTCCAAAGATCTGTTGCAATGCTACTCAAATGATTTGTTCCAGGGAGGGGAGAAATGACTCATTTTCTTATAAAAGGAAAAGCTAGACAATTCTTGATTCATAGCAGAAACCAGTTTTACTGGAAAATACTAATTCAGCAAAGAAATAAGCATTGAATATTGCTGATTTTATCATACATTTATTCCAATACACACAATGAAAGATAGTAAAAATACTTATACTCAAATCCCTGTGCTAAATTTAAACATAGGATGTCTAATCACCAAAAAATTAAAAAAAGTTTAAGACTGACTTTCAATGGTTTGGTTGCTTCATAAATGAAGGAAGAAATTTATGAGTGGTAATGGCTCTACAAGGTACATAAATTCTTTGCTTTATATTTATGTACAATTGCATGAACAATCTTTATGCATTCTCAGTAACCATCATGAAGATTCTTTATGAACTAAAGACAAATCCATGAGGTGAGTTATCCATGAGACCTGTTAGAAGATTTACTCCTTCAAATGCTTTTAACTGTTCCATAGCGCCTTTCTATAAAAAACACTTCAATGAAAATGTTTGGCTTGAAGGGCCAAACCAGACCCACCAAAATAGCTTAACTTCTAAGGGACTTAAGTATCTTTTGCTTGTAGCTTTGCACATTTTCTTCCTTGGCGCTATTTTCAAGCAAAAATACTTTATGTGTTTGGAGTTTCAAATGAGTGTTTCAGTGTATTAATGAACCACACAATTTTTTCTCCAGAATTAGACAAATCATACTTATTTTACTAGAAACACTTGTATCAGTATTCAAAACAGTATTAACGCCCATTTTCATCTAAAAGCTTTAAAAATAGCACTAGGAGTCAAATTACAAATTAAATATTTTCAGATACCCAATACAGTTTTTAAGTTGTTTCCATTAATAAGCCAAAGTATGCACAGTGTACCAGGTTTGAAAGATCTGCAACTTTACAGAATTACTTCCATAATACACAACAAACAGATCATGCACTTAGTTCAAAATGTATTTGTAGGCGTTTACTCCTGTAATGCAAGCATAATTTGTGTAATTTCCTGCAGACAAATTCAAGTCCCACAACTGAAAAGGGATATAAACCCACAAAGTTTCAAAATGATTAACAAGGTGAACTGTGGCTTTTAAAGCCAGAATTGCACATAACTTTTCAGAAAGCAAGCCAATAATACGTAGCTTGTTCTGCTATTACACAACATGGTACATATCAAAACAATAGTCAGCATGCTATATTCTCCCAAAGGAACTCCTCAAATTCAAAGTATTTGAGATAGCAATTAACTTTACATTTCAGCAAATATGTAGCACAAACTACTTCTCAGTTTTGATTCTTACACTGACAAAGAAATAAAAAGACCTGCATAAATTAACTAAATTGGTATATTTATTTTGCTTATGCTTAAGCACAATTCTTTTAGCTATCAGCTGACATTACTGGATAGCACTGATCTACAATTATTCACCAATTAAAAAAGTCTTCTCAGAGAAAAAGCTTATTTGAACAGGTTATAGAGCTGATATATTAACCTTTACATACTGAAATATTCAATGCGTGGAGACTTCACAATCCATGATCCGTAACCATGCTGCTCCAAGTAGGATTTCAGCAAGTACTTTGCTCCTTGGTAAGATTCTGCCATAATCTAAGTGAAAAAATAATAAATTAATACTAAGGGTTGGTAAGAAATTTCAACCAGAAGCCTTTTCAAGAAACACTCTCTACTTCTGATATTCTGATTTTAATCGGGGTAGTAGAGGACTGCAACTATTCCCTAGGTCTTATATTGTGGTTTTTATAGTTTTGAATTTTTTGTGTTGCATTTTGCTTTAAATGGAGTTAGAGAAGAAGACCTGTATGCTACTTGTCAGTTGTGACTAGAGCAGCCCATACACCCTGCGTAAGGAAATGAATGAACAATCTCAATAGGGAACAGAAAGTAGTAGTAAGCAGGACTGGGACTGATTACTA